TAGATAGATAGATAGATAGATAGATAGATAGATAGATAGATAGATAGCACTTTTCAGAATATTTTCAAAATGTATCTAATTTGGAGTATGCACGTGCACATAAAATACATCAGCATAGATTTAAATGCTGGTCTTAATCTCAGTGAAATGCGCATGCATGTGTTTTATTCTGCTGGCCTCTGACTGAAACAGAACCCCCCACCCCCTCCTATAAAGAGAATGGAACAACACAGCGTACCACGACAGGACGCAGTCAGGATTTTCCACCATGAGAATAGCTGCCATCAACAGGACCTTGACGGACCAGTGAGGCAGCGCAGACCAGGCGGTCCAGTTCCACTGGGCTCCGGACCCCGCAGGCTGGATGAAGCGCTCTGCTCTGACCTCGCTGGAGACGGTTTCTGGGCCAGACACTCCATTTATTATCAGTACGGAATGTGACTGACTCGGTCCAGACGGGGTGCATGAAGCCCTCGGCGGTGTCATGCGTCGTGCCCCGCAGCCAAGCGCGCGACCTTTGAGGCTACTGGTGTTTCTGCTCCTCTTCCTCGGCGCGGCGGTCGTGTCTTCCCCGGTGGTCTCCGCCGGCTGCCCGGACAAGTGCGTGTGCGATGAGCAGCTGGTGGTCCAGTGCGCGGGTCAGCACCTGACCACCTTCCCGGCGGACCTGCCCCTGGCCACGCGACACCTCATCATCTCCAGCAATCGCATCGCGGAGCTGCCGCCTCTCGCGCTCAACTACCTGTCCGACTTGGAGTACCTGGACTGCAGCTACAACTCTCTTACTGAGGTTTCACAGTCCACCTTCGGGAATCTGCGCAAGCTCGCCTACCTGGACCTGTCTTTCAACATCCTGCACCGGGTCGAGGAGCGGACCTTTGGACCGCTCGCGAGTCTGGTGATGCTGAGGATGACCAACAACCCCGGGCTCTCCGAGATCCACCCGGACGCCTTCGTGGAGAACGAAGCGCTTCAGGTGTTGGACGTGAGCCGGAACAACGTGAGTGTGTTGAACATCAGCTCCCTGCTGGCTCTGCCCGCCCTGCGCTCCGTGGGGCTCAGCGGGAACCCGTGGAGCTGCCGGTGCCATAACGAGGACCTCAGTCTGTGGGTCCACCTGGAGAGCTTCAAGTTCCAAGGTGCTCCCACCTCATTTACTAATCCTCCAGAAGTTTTATTTTATTTTCCTGTCAGGGCTCTGAAAGTTCTCTGCTCTCAAGTCAAATTTATTTATAAAGCACATTTTAAACAGAAACCGTTACCAAAGTGATTAACAACCAAATCACAGCATCAAGTAAAAAAATGACAAGGTGAAGCATCAAAACTAAAAACATAAAAAAACCACTTACCAGATGGTCTTTTGATGTGTGTGTCCAATTGTGAGGACATGTTGGACTCCATTTTGACACAAACACAGTGGTGCTTGAAAGTTTGTGAACCCTTCATATATTTTTTATTTGTCTGAATAAATGGCCTCATCACATTTTCACACAAGTCCTAAAGAGAACCCTGTTAAACAAAAGAGACGAAAATATAATGCTTGGTCATTTATTTATTGAGGAAGATAATCCAATATTACATATTTGAGTGGTAAAAGTATGTGAACCTCTTGGATCATCAGTTAATTTGAAGGTGAAATTAGAGTCAGGTGTTTTCAATCAAAGGGATGGTGATCAAGTGTGAGTGGACACCCTGTTTGATTTAAAGAACAGGATCCGTCAAAGTCTGATCTTCTTGGTGGAAGTGGATCATGACAGGAACAAAGGAGATTTCTGAGCACGTCAGAAAAAGAGTTGTTGATGCTCATCAGGCTGGAAAATGTTACAAAACCATATGTAAAGAGTTTGGACTCCACCAATCCAGTCAGACAGATTGTGTACAAATGCAAGAAATTCAAGAATTCAAAGATTCAAGGTTCTTTATTTGTCATTCTCACCTCATGTGGTGGAGCGAAATTATGTACTCAGGGTCCCAGTTACATCCAACAATAAAATGTAAAAAAACAAAAAAAAAAACAATGATAACTTCTAAGATATGAACTAAGAATAATATGAACTAAATATACACTAAGCACTAATAGCATAAAAACATTATGCTGAACAGCAGCACGAACATGAGTCTGTGTGAGCAGATGAGCACGCATGAACACAGCAACATGAAACAGATCAGCAGCAACATGAAACAGATCAGCAGCAACATGAAACAGATCACCAGCAACATGAAACAGATCAGCAGCAACATGATGTGATTTTTCACAGTGATTATTCTGGTTAGAGATTCATGAGTCTAACAGCTTCAGGGTAGAAGCTGTTCCTCAGTCTAGTGGTTCTACACTTAATGCACCTCAACCTCCTTCCTGACAGGAGCAGAGCAAAAAAAGTGTGTGCTGGGTGAGTGGAGTCCTTCATGATGCAGGTGGCCCTCTTCCTGCATCTAAAGGTGTAGATGTCTGTGATGGTGGGGAGGCTGACTCCAACATCTTCTGTGCAGCCTTCACCTGCAAAGCTTTCTTTCTGCAGCTGTGCAGCCTCCATGCCACACGTTGATGCTGGAGCACAGGATGCTCTCCACTGCACACCTGTAGAAGGAGGTGAGGACTGAGCTTCCCAGACCAGCTTGTCTGAGGAAGTAGAGTCTCTGATGAGCTTTCTTGATCAGGCTGGTGGTGTTGTTGCTCCAGCTGAGGTTGTCATTCAGGTGCACACCCAAGTACTTGTAGCTGGAGACACTTCCACTGCATATCCTCTTATTTTCATGTGCATGTGTGTTTGTTCCTTCTGAAGTCCACGATCATCTCCTTCACATTGATGTGAAGGTTATTCTCTTTGCACCAGCTCTCCAGGTGTTCCACCTCCTGCCTGTAGCTGGACTCATCATTGTTTGTGATGCATCCCACCACCACTGTATCATCTGCAAACTTTACAATATGACAGCCTGGATGGGTAGCTGCACAATCATACATGAGCAGATTGAATAGGAGAGGGCTCAGCACACATCCCTGAGGAGAGCCAGTGCTGAGGGTTTTGGTGGAGGAGGAAAAGTTCAAGACCATTGTTACCCTCCCCAAGAGCGATGGACCAATTAAGGTCACTCCAAGGCGTGGAATAGTCAGCGAGGTCACAAAGGACCCCAGGTTAACTTTTAACAGCTGAAGGTCTCTCTCACATTAATGTTAATGTTCATGAGTCCACCATCAGGAGAACTCTGAACAACACTGGTGTGCATGGCAGGGTTGAAGGAGAAATCCACTGCTCTCCATAAAGAACATTGCTGTTCGTCTGCAATTTGTTAAAGATCACGTGGACAAGTCAGAAGGTTGTTGGAAGAATGTTTTGTGGACAGATTAGACCAAAATAAAACATTTAGGTTTAAATGAATAAAAGTGTTTTGTTTGGACAAAGGACAACTCTGCATTCCTGCATAAGAACCTTATCCCATCTGTGAAACATGGTGGCGATAGTATCATGGTGTGGACCTGTTTTGCTGCATCTGGGCCAGGATGGCTTACCATCATTGATGGAACAATGAATTCTGCATTGTATCAGAGAAGGTGGGTCATGCAGCAAGACAATGACTCTAAGAACACAATTGTTCTACCAAAGAATAGTTAAAAAAGAATAAAGTTCATGTTTTGGAATGGCCAAGTCAAAGTCCTGACCTTCATCCAATCCAGATGTTGTGGAAGGACCTGAAGCAGCAGTTAATGTGAGGAAACCACCAACATCCAGAGTTGAAGCTGTTCTGTACAGAGGAATGGGCTAAAATCCCTCCAAGCCAGTGTGCAGGACTGATCAACAGTTACTGGAAACATTTAGTTGGAGTTATTGCTGCACTGGGGGGGGGGGGAGGAGACCAGATACTGAACGCAAAGATTCACATTTTTTTTGCCACTCAAATATATAATAATGGACCATATTCCTTAATCAATAAATGATCAAGGGCAGCACAGTGGCACAACTGGTAGAGCTGCTGCCTCTCAGCGAGAAGGTTGTTGGTTCAAATCCTGGTCCGGGGGCCTTCCTGGGTGGAGTTTGCATGTTCTCTCCGTGCATGCGTGGGTTTTCTCCGGGTACTCCAGTTTCCTCCCACAGACCAAAAACATGCATGTTAGACTGGTTGGTAACTCTAAATTGTCTCTGGGTGTGAGTGAGAGAGTGAATGGTTGTTTGTCTCGTTTGTCTCTATGTGTCCCTGTGATGGACTTGCGACCTGTCCAAGATGTACCCCGCCCCTTGCACAGTGACTGCTGGACATGGGCACCGGCGACCCCCGTGACCCAAAAGTGGAAGAAGCGGGTAAAAGACAATGGATGGATGGATGGAATAAATGATCAAGTATAATATTTTTGTCTCATTTGTTTAACTGGGTTCTCTTTATCTACTTTTAGGACTTGTGTGAAAATCTGATGATGTTTTTGGTCATATTTATGCAGAAATATTGAAAATTATAAAGACGTCACACACATTCAAGCACCGCTGTAAGTTAAAAACACACACAGTCACAAACTTCAGTTAACAACTATGGAAACACAGCATAATGAGAGAAACACCTAAAGTTTAACAAACTTAAACTCTGTTTTTACAAGAACGGTTCAAGATATCAAAAAGCTGAATTACTTGGCTATAGTTGAATGTCTTGTGAATTTTTTAAAGTTTAATGAAATTTCCAAGTGGAATAAGCTAAAGTAGTTAGTTTAAAAAGCAATAAGCTGTTGAAATATTTCATGGAATTCATTCATTTCAGTGAAAACATTTTGCTAAAATCATCTGAATATTTCTAAATACCAAAAGTCATTACATTAATGTATTGAATGAGCTGAACATTTTGATACCTAAATTGCTGAAATAGCTTAAAATCTGTGGGACGATTTAAATGACAAAATGTACGGAAGACACTTGAAAAAATAAATGACGAGAAACAGGAAAACAATAGTGTGAACAGCTTCACACAAGAAGAAGAAATGTGCTGGGTAGGAGCACAATTCAGATGGTCAACTTGTCAGTTCTCAGGGCTTGTAGTTAATCTCATTAATCCTGTCAATGTTGCAAATGATCCCTGTCATATCACACTGGCTATGTGCAGAAATTGCTTCTTATTGCCATGTTCTGTGCTGTGCTGTGAGTGTGTACACTGTGGGATGTACGAGGACTTCACAACTTTATTAGGAAGTTTTTGTAGTTTATTTAGTGATACAATTACATAAGTCTCTCAATCATCTTTTATTTGTTCTTAGTAAGGACATGTACACTTGTGTTGTATTCAACGAGTACATAGTTCGTTTTAAGATTTTATAACATTTTCTCTGCTATAGTTGATTTAGGATTTAGAATAGTCACTGGTTATTCGAGTTTAGAAAGACAACTTGTTCTGTGGGTTTGAAGGGATACACTGTGTTTTGGTATTACAAATTATTTTATGGTGTAGAGGATATTTTGTGGAAAAAAAAACAGCCACTAGGGAGCACAAGCCAGTGTATCTCTTGTGCTGGTCCCAAGCCCGGGTAAATAGTGAGGGTTGTGTCAGGAAGGGCATCTGACTTAAAACACTTGCCAAAACTACAGTATAAAGTGAGTTCATCAAAGCGAAACCATACCGGACCGATCGAGGCCCGGGTTAACAATGACCGCCACCGCTGACAAACAGGGTGCCGGCGGAAATTGTGCTAATGTTAATTGAACGCCACGAGGAGGAAAACGTGTCAGGAGACAAGAGGGAGAAGAAGAAAGTCAAGCATGTAGGACTGAGGGTTGCAACTCTAAATGCAGGGACAATGACAGGCAAAAGTAGAGAGCTGATTGACATGATGCAGAGAAGGAAGGTAGATGTTTTATGTGTCCAAGAGACCAAGTGGAAGGGCAGCAAGGCTCGCAGCATTGGAGCAGGGTTCAAGCTGTTTTACCATGGTGTGGATAGAAAGAGAAATGGAGTAGGGGTGGTCCTAAAGGAGGAATTGTCAAAGAATTTAGTATAGGTGAAAAGAGTGTCAGATAGGGTGATGTGTCTGAAGGGTGTGGTGCGTTTGTGATGCCTGGCACAGGCCCACTACCACTGCACATGTCTGGCATTGGTTATTTCTGATAGAGTGGTCCATACTGATTGCTTTGAGGTCAGTTTCAAGTTGTTACCTCACGAGCTGATC